TCTGACATGGCGTGGGATGTTATTTCTTATGCTGTGGGTTATGTCAGTAGTATGGTTACTTATATTAACGCTTCAGGATGCCGACTCAGTCTTCTTCATTCTTTCACTTATTATTCAGGCACGTAAAGAAGAATGCTCAATTCCAGTTAAAACTCACAGTACTTTATTGAACACACTTTATATTGATAATATTAATAAATAATCCTTGCATGAATGTAATTTCACATATATATCTATAGTATTCCATCATTAAGAAAGACACGTCCTCACACTAAACTGTCAACTGTCTAATCACACAGCTCTCACGCTACTGACTCTACTGCTCTACTCTCAGCTCTCTACTATCTCAGTCAACTCATACTTCATTACCAGCAAAGCGTGCAAAACAACCGCTCTGACAAAAACATAATTTTACTCTCCAAAAACGTGGAGTTCACATTTGTTCTCATAAATACAATCCACATTGATTGTCTCTCCCCGTGGAAAAACCTGGTGAACACACTCACTGTCCACTCATGCTACCTCTCTGTTTACATGTGAAAACATAGTCCGTTACAGGTACATAGAACATGAAGAAAAAAATCCATGTCTATACATTTTAATTTTTATAATTCAACATTTTAAATCGAGTGGTCACACTGATGCACCCCGCCCCCCACACCCGCCCCACCATCGGGTGCGATGTCTGATGTCCGAGCGAATGACCGGGTGTCCGATAGAGGAATGCCCTCCAGACATCGCGGATGTTTGGGAAATAAAGTAAAGGGGGCGAACAAAGGGCAGTAAACACCATCTTCCAGGCAGTACAAAGACTTGAAAAAGATTAAGAACCTGAGAGAAAACAAAGGCAGATCCCCCCCCCCAGTCACGTGTGTAAAGCTTATGATAATTTTTGCGGTGAATTAAAATTGAAGCACCTCAAAAGGTTTACCTCTTTTAATTACAAAAATAGACTTTTATTAAATTTATAACGTAATAAAAACTTGACCTTTAAATATACTTCTATTGAGAAAATGCCGTTTAAGTCAACCAGTGAAGTCATATCATTATTTGAAACACTGGTTACCCAAAACACTGGTTATCTTAAACATTGGGGCAAATTGACCAACCACGACACCCCCCAAATTACAAAAAAATCAATAAAGTCTTCCATCGGATTGTAGTCCCTTTCATAACCAAACTAACAATTGCATTTCATGTGGTTTGTTCTAATTTGGATGAGTTATAAGTAGATAAGTACATTAGTAATTGTAAATGATAATCAGCGTTTCAGATAACCAGTGTTTCAGATAACCAGCGTTTCAGATAACCAGCGTTTCAGATAACCAGTGTTTCAGATAACCAGTGTTTCAGATAAACAGTGTTTCAGATAACCAGCGTTTCAGATACCAGCATTTTCCGAGAACCAGCGTGAGTATTTCCTGGAACCATTTACTTAGTAGAATTAAATGCAATTACAGTTATGAACTTACAAACCACACCAAAAATCCATTTAAAAAAACACCCAAAACAATGTTAATGTTAGTTGAGAGTTTGGTCACTTACAAATAGTTGATTAATTTTTCTACTGCCTATCCCTAGTTATAAATAACTATCTCATAATATGAAAAGTCGGATTTAACCACCTGTAGAAAAAAACAACAACATATCAACATTTTATGAGTTTTGCTCTCTTCACAGGACGCAAATTCTAGTTTCGAATCCGAAAGGAAATCTATGCAATTTTTAGCGGATGTTTTAACAACTTGTAACATAGTGTTACTTCGAACCAGGGCCATCACCTTCTTTAGGATCTAACCGTCCATTGACTAAATCATCACCTACTTTAGGATCTAACTATACATTGACCTATTCGTCACCTACTTCAGCTACTTACATCCCTTCACCAGCCCGTCAACTTCTTTAGGAACTAACCATCCCTTGACCAGCCCATCACCATCATAGCAACTAACCGTCCATTGGCCAACACCCATCACCTTCTTTTGGAACTAACCATCCATTGGCCAAAACTCATCACCTTCTTTAGCAACTAACCATCCATTGGCCAACACTCATCACCTTCTTTAGCAACTAACCATCCATTGGCCAAAACCCATCACCTAAGACGGAAAAGACGGAGCTGGTCGCCATTGCTACTGCTCAAAAGCTAAAATCTGTAAATAACACACAATCCCTTACTCTCACAAGTGTGCAGATTGAGTTTGCTTAAACAGTGCGAAACCTTGGTATCGGCTTAGACAGAACACTAACTATGGGAAATCACATTAACATGCTTTACAAGGCGATTTTTCTAGAGCTGTTCAGAATTAGTCATATCAGACCTTTCTTAACGTTTAATGCAACAAATAAGCACATGTCTGCATTCGCGCTATCACGCATGGACTACTGCAATGCTCTCATGGTGAGTCTTCCAGCTACGCTCCTGGATAAAATGCAAAAAGCATTGTTCTTCGGAAACACAAATTCGACCATGCTAAAACACTTCTGAGAGAGCTTCATTGGCTGCCGGTCCGTGCTCGCATAGAGTGCAAAATTGCAACTCTGTGCTACCGCTGCTTGCATGACCTGGCGCCGTCCTATCTCAAATCGCTCATGGCGCCTTATGTAACTACTGGACAACAATTAGGAACACCCTTCCTGTCGCTCTCAGAAACAGCCAGTCACTGGAATCCTTCAAAACCGATTTGAAATCACATCTATTTCGCAAACACCTGCTGGGGTGATGTCTACCATCTTTTCCAGCTAGCTAATATCTCCTAGATTTATATTGGCCTGTGTTGTTTATAGTTGAAAGGGATGAAATACTTTGAATGGGTTTTCTCGTTTGTAGTTTTTTTTAGTGTTGCGTTTTAATGTGGTGTTTCATTTCTCATTTAATATGGTTGACTTTGTACCGAGCTTCGAGCCTTTGGGGATGAAGCATAATTTAAATATATATATATATATATGATATCTGATGGCTGATTTTTTTCTTTTTTTTTATTTCCTACAATCGCCTCTAACAGCCCTCTGGGAAGATGCCTTTGTTTTATCCCATGTCCCTAGTCTTTGTTAATCCTTGTACTACCTGTAAGTTGGCGTTTACGGCCTTTTGTCCTTGCCTACGGCTCCACTGCTGTACCCCAAAGATAAACAAAGCTCACATCACTACATACTGAACCGATGTCCTTACCTATGGCACCACTGCAGGTTATGTAGTTAATTAAAAGAAGAAAGCAACACAGTTACGTAGGAAGGTGGGGTGTGGAGGGGGTGGTGCAGACCCCCCCCCCCGGGCGGCACTTTTTTTTTTAAGGAGGGGCTGCATTTTGGCCAACTGCAGAGTTATTTTTCGTTGATAGGAGGAACCCAAAATCTTAATCCCACCCCATGCAGCACCAACTCTAGCCATGCCACTAGTGCTAGTGAAAGTCATAATAATGTAATAACAGAAAGATGGCTTTGAAAAATTATATTTAATATTATCCATGGAACGCAACATGGTGTTAAAAAGCCTAAATTAAATATATAAATACTGTACAGTACCATGAGCATAGCAACAGGTAATCATGGGTGACAATTATTAGAAAAAAAAAACTACCAAAATTTCTTACCTCGTTAAAAATTGGTGGTCATTGTTTTTCGATATATGAACATATGGCTCTTTGTCCATACTGAGTAAAGAGTTAAAATTATGCATATTTTTTCAAGACACATTTTTTAAAATGTATAAAAACAAGACCTGAAAAATCAACCCAGATGGGCTAAACATGTCTTGCTCTTAAATATCCCACATCGGCACTGACTGCCACACAGCATTCACAGAACATTTAGGAAATGCACAGAAGCCACCATTTTGTGCTTCTCGTTCTACTAGAGGGATACACTTAAAGCCATACAAATATTACTGAGATACAATTAACTGTAGAAAAAAAAATTAAATAATTATTCACTATCGTTAGAGCACATGCTAAAATTAAGGGTGGCTTCTCCCCAAATATTGTTAGGGGAACCCTGAAGACATAAAAAGATAACAGGAAATAAAACAATTTAATGTTAGGCAAAAATATATCTGACTATAAATTTAAGTAATCTCAAAACAAATCCTCAGTTTTTGATCTTAACTATTAATCCATTGCCCTATTTGGACAAGGATTTCTTGCCTTGCCTTTACCAGCTGGGGTGGGTCATCGGGTGAGTCGGGATACATATTAGCACAGTGGGCTGTACCTAAAATGAAGTTTAACAGAATAAATTATTTTTGGGTTAATTTGAGGAAATATGTGGAGAAGGGGAACACTGAGCTCAAACTAAACTGAATTACTGAAAGATAAGCTAGGAATAATTTCTGGGAGTTTATTAACACTGATCTGAGGCATGAAGGATCAAATACACATTTTAAAGAGATTATTTGTAGTAGCTTTTATTGTATTTTAACTCCATTGACATTAAATAGATGACATCAGCCACCATTAACCCAGCATTTAAAAAAAAATTATGTATATCCATTTATTAATATCAGAGTAAAAATATATATAAAAAAAATATATAAAGGATGAATACCATTGGATTTAAAATATCTGATATAAAAAAAATCAAAGTATAACTCACCATTAATAAAAATAGCTCTGGCATCGGGACCTAGATCTGTAAGAACACCGAGAGCGTGCCAAGGGTCAATGGAACCATTGGGGAAAATAACTTTGGAGATTTTTATCCCTAGAGCACCATAATCAGCATTCGACCTCTTGACGGCGTCACTGATTAAAGTTTCATTGAAGTTTGCCCCGAAAATGTCTTGACATTGTTCTATCCAAAACCTGAAAAATAAATATGAGTTAAAGTAATGTTTTAGCGATTCCAGATTATATTACAAAATGATAGTTAAAGTTGCTTAATATCTTTAATTTTAAGTTTTCAAAATTAATTTAAAAAATCAGACTCAATACAGGGGAACCAGCCAATGACAGAGGGTCTCTATACTAAATTTAGTGCTTCTCACTATATGTATGGAAGAAAAGCCTACCAGCATTATGTAGTAGTGTTGTGGAAAAGTGGTAGTGATAGTTAGTGTAAGACACCAAAGAAATGATAAGATGTCAGTTCCATATATCTCATAGCCAAGAATGTTTGTACAGTTTTATAGTTGTGTATCAAATGTAAATTTAAATGTCTAAATAGTTAGATTGTTTCTTGTAATGATTGTTTCTTGATTGTTTCGTGTCCAATTATCATTCATGTAAATGATATTTGGTACTTAATCTTAATGCATTTTGTTTGTCATTCAATTTTATGACTTCATCATACTTCATGCAAGAACATGGTTGACGCATTTTTTTAATATAGCATTCAAGTGATGAGTTACAAGTTATTCATTGATCAACCCAAGGCAAGGTCGAATACAGATACAGTTACCATAAAATGTAAAGAACAATGTGCACAATGTTTTCATACATTGAAGGCTGAAAAATGTTCATGGGTATCATTCCATATTTTCCATTGCTCTAAAAAAAAATATTATTTTTTAAACTTTAATTCTATGGGTGTCATCTCAGAATAAAGTGGCTTTTATGTCACTGAATGTATCTATAAATGTGTTTAATGTAATTCAAATAAATATTTACTTAAAAGCCCTGACTGTTCTTGGTTTTAACAAAAAATTCTTAACTATTGTTGAATGAGGTCAATCACACCCTGCTCTAAGAAGTTTTTTCTTCTCAGGCGGCAATTTTGTTATCAGATAGAAATGTTAAGTTCGAAACACTGAGTCCTTAAGCCAACACTCACTCAATGGGGAACGCATGACCAAAAGGTTGGTTCTCATAATCAGACGACTGGTAGAACGCAAACTCTGTGCAGGTTTGATATGTCCATTGACGTCCTAGAAAAAAAAAAAAAATGAAATTATTGAAAAACTCTATTTTGAAAACGAGTATAGGATGAAACTACTGGTTGACCTTTTGTGACTCGTGCCACTATATGATAAGAATATTATATTTTTATATGAATATTTCAGCATGTGTTATACAAAATTTGTTGCAAGGGGCCAACTATGACTGATGACACGCATAAAGTGTCTAAATTATTTCACAAAATTTTAATGATGGGGTGTGTCCAAAATCAAGCAAAAGAGCTTGACATCATTTATGGATTGCCCATAAAGCACAGTTAAAATGCATGTGAATTTGAACTACATTACAACAGTCGTTAAATAAATTACATTACAAAGATAATTAATGACATAATTTACTAATTTTATGAATAAATTATGATATTTTAATGTATCAGGTAATTTCATCAAACAAAAATTTAGCAAAATACCAATTGTAAGGTTTTTACATGGAATATTTAGTATAGCATATTAAAACATTCACCATTTCTTAAACTATGATCACATCAGATTCTATTTTGTGACTGTTCATGTATATAAAATTTGGTATTCCATTGTTTATTTTATGCCACTAAAGCTATATAGAATTTGCCTGGCAAACAGGGGTGTATTTTTTCCCTCTTGTATTTGTATATTTAGAATATCAGTAAAAAATGCAAAGCCCCAATTTTTTAATTAATTTTTTTTTCCAATACAGAATTACCTCCCTCTGCTGCCCCAGAACTCCACGACGTTCCTCTCATAGTCTCTATCATTTTATCATATTTGAAATCTTGGCAGGTTTGTGAATATGCATCCAACAACAAATTGTTAACCTGGAAATTGAAAACAAATCCATTTTTGTAAAAATCAGTTGCTAAATAAGTATAAGCAAAAACATCTGATCCTCATTCAGAGGAAAACATGACATTTTATTTTCTGTTTTAAAATATTTAAGGATTTAAACTACAGGGATGGGGAGGGACGGGCTGAGGTGACTAAACCACATTGCAACAAGAAACCTGTGATAATGTTTATTTTAATTGTTTTAAGAGTTATTTGAAATAGTGGCTGCTAGGTCATGAATTTAAGGCTATTATCACTATGTCCTCTTCCTGGAGAAAACCGACTATATATATATATATATATATATATATATATATATATATATAATATTTATATTTATATATATTTATATGTATATTTATATTGTTTAAGAACTATGTTGAATTATTATTTTTAGCAATATATAGCACAAAGAAATTTTTTGTGTTTTTGACTTTGTTAATTAAAGGTGTAAGACGCATGGCTTGTTTCAGTCCGCTTGGCACAATTTGGGTCACTCAATCTAAAGTTCATGAAAGGTCTCTATTATTATTATCAGGCCAAACGGTAGATATTAAACGTTTCAACACACAAATTGTATATGCAGAGTTTTAAAAAAAAAAGAAATAGAATGATGCTACAATGTATAAAGAACCTGGGCATATCTCTGCACTGGTGTCCCCAGGGATGCATCGGTCATGATGCCACACAAGGTGTCAATTGTGATGTTGGTACCTTTGGCTCCCTGGGGATATAAAAAAAAAACTGATAAGGCTTGAATATAAATATTGTACAGAACAGACTCTGATGTCATGATGCAATGAAGCAGACTAATATCTGATATCAATCAATTCTGATCCACAGCTGCACTCCACTGAACACTCCCTTTTTTAATGATTAATAAATTTAATACTCCCTCTAAATAATAAATTAAAAACTCCCACTTTAAGGGTTAATGAAATAAACAATAGCTCTTTAATGAATGATTAAATAAAAATTATTGAAGTACTAAGCAGTACCTCTATAATGACAGAATTTTAAAATCCTTATTTACAGCAACAACAACAAATAATCTTAACAGTCTATTTTTAATGAATAATGAACATAACAGTCCTTATAAAATGTTAGTTTAAATGAAACAATCTTTCTCAAATAGACCTAACTCACTACCCCTAAGTTATTTGCTTTTCCCAAATTTTACATTAACACTGTGAGTGTGGAATTTGTTGTCTGTCCTCATTGTTTGCAATCAATGTATAATTTCACTCACCCTTTCAAAGCCGACGGAATCATTTGACCATTTATATATAGATACTTTTTGTATTTGTATGTCTGTCAATTAAAATTTGTTGCTAAAATGTAGCCCCTGATGACCCCATTACCTCAAAAGCTCTGTTATCCTTGTTGTACTGCACCACTCCCTCAAAATTGCCAGCCAGTGTGGAGAACAGATTGGCGATGTCTTTTGATATGTTTGGGTCAATGTTGTCACATAACCTGATTCACAGATATATGTTTTAGGGACATAATCAAAGTAAAATTACCATATTTGACTTAGTGCACTAAGATCATGCATTGTCTATGTTGATTTGTGCCTTTAACTCAAATTTTAAATTCAATGGACACTATCATGAGATTACAATCATAAGACTGCAATCATGCAACAAATTTAAAGATCACAATAATGCCCCCACAATCATAAGATTACGATAATGAGATAACAGTCATGAGACACAAATACCATACACTATTCAAAAGACAAAAACATGAGATCACAATGTATATCTGTGACAGCCACCTTTCTAGTTACTAGTTAAGCTCAAGTTTTGAACTGACTGTTTTTATAATGTTCATAGCAGAGAAAACAATAAACTAATGAGAAAATAAATTTTTTGCCCTTCATTTTCCAAGATCATTTTTCTTGGAAGAGAAAATAGTGAAAACCGGACCAGAAAAGGGTGGCATAAAAAGCAAAATTCATGAACCAGTAATGATCATTTCTTTCTTAGTTCATTCTTGTACATTTTTTTTTTAATCGCCACATATCTATTTCTATTTTTTGCTATGCCTTTGAATTAACTATCAATATTTTTAAGCTTTACCATAACTAGTGACTTTAATTCAAATGTATTTTGCTAATGTGTGAAAAGAAAAGTTTATTGGTCAGTGCATATGGTTGATAAATATAGCCTAATGGGAACAAAGTTCAACATTCTTAACTTTGTTGGCCATGTTAAATTTCAAAGTTTTCAAATCAACAAAAAGCACATCCTATAAATTAAAAGAAAAAAACCCAACTCATGCCCGCTTCAAGTTCAAGGCTAAAGTATCTGTGTTTGAGTAAAATATGAAGACAAAACTATCTCTAAATAAACAATACCTTGGCTGTGAAGTTGATTTTAAACTAAAAATCTGCCTTTGTCTATCTTCCCTTCACATCAAGCCAGTTTATCTCCCATTCACATCAACCCAGTCTATCTCGGCTTCACATCAAGCTAGTCTATCTCGGCTTCACATCAAGCCAGTCTATCTTGCCTTTAAATCAAGCCAGTTTATCTTCCCTTCAAATCAAGCCAGTCTATCTTCCCTTCAAATCAAGCCAGTCTGTTTTCCCTTCACAGCAAGCCAGTCTATCTTCACATCAAGCCAGTCTATCTTCCCTTCACATCAAGCCATACAATAAAATAGCAACCTGAAAGTCTGCTTCAGAAGAATACGACCCTCTGTTGTGTTAATTTTCTGTGTTATAGTGTCAGTGGCCTGCTGAATGGCAGTGTTGCAGTTGTTTGTTCCATCATGAGTCATCAGTGCATCGGCCACCACCTCTAGGTATTCTATAAGATAAACATAGAAACATTACTTTGGTTTTACAAAATATGAGAAAAGCCATTTTTAAAAAATAGAGGCAGAGGCAGATGGTCTAAATGTTATTATAGATTGTTCAAAAAAAAAAGAAGAAAAAAAGAGATACATCTTTTCATTTAAAAACCCCAGGGGCTAACCCGGTGGCTCCAGTACCACAGGTTGTAGGCCAAGTACAAATTAACTCCTCCTGACGGCCGTGCTACTTCCGCATTTAATTTATATAATGGTACCTTTGAAAGGGAAGTAAGTCCGTTTGCAATTGATTTACATTTGTAAAACATTTTTTTAAGCTGCTAAATATAATTATTAAGGATGAATGCATCCAGAAATAATTAAAATTTAATAGCAATATCACATCAATAATGAAAAAAATAACAAGCAATGACCAAAAAAAAATTATTTTTATCTCCTAGAATGAACAAGTACGGGATATAGACACACTGTTCTACAGCACACTTAGATTGAAAGTGAAACAAGATAAAAACGTTTTGGTTTTTAAATTGAAATCACGCAGAATCATGCCTTCACCAGAAGTCATAAGGGATGCGGGGTTTCATTGCAGTTTTAAAAATAAAAATTAGAGAAGTGTGTCGCAATGCAACGAGAAACATGTTTGGATGCATCTGTCGGAACCCCCGAATAATGCATTTAGTCGCAACCATTGGGAATGAGTCAAATAATAAATTAATAATAACCTTTAAAGTTAACTTCAGCAAGCAGAGGGGCACTGGAGGCAACAGCTCCATCAACAAGGTGTGGATACTTCAGCCGAAACCAGGCAGACAAGGAACCTGCAAAAACAAAACATAATTATATATTTGTGCAGCATCTCTACTTAAGCGTATTTATAAAAAATATACATTAGAATTATAGTCCTAAGTTGTGGGTCAAAAGTATTTAACAATTTATTTTTGACCACTCACAGTGAGGCCCATCTTGTTGACCCATCTTTGAGGCCTGCCTTGTTTACAAACCTCTGACCACTTACAGTGAGGCCCGCCATGTTTTCCAATCTCTGACCCGCCCTATAACTTCAGATTTAGTAATCCCTGTGATTTATGATGGACCATGAAGAAACCTAATTCATGATTTTAACACAAAGACAATAGACCCAGGTTGAGAAGAACTATATGCCCCACACAAAGCAGAACTAAACATCAGACATAGAAGTACCAAATCCCAGATGAAGATGTACCAATACCCAGGCATACAAAATGTAATATTGTAAGTTCTAAGTTATAAAAGAATTAAAACCCAACTATGGCCTTTTCAACATTAGTTTTTATCCACACTGTTATTTTTTAATGTTTTCATCTTATTGGATCCACAAACACTTATCCCTGACTTTTAAATCCTACCTGGATAGGATCCTCCAAATGTAATGACCTTTATTTTGGGGTTGCCCAGTCTAAATTTAAGGTCAACAATGAATGCAGCTAGATCAGCCAATGCCTGCTCACTACTCAAGTACCTGAGGTTGTCTGTGCTCATGTCCCTGGAGATAAATACAGACAGCTTAGCTATTGTTATAGGAACTTTTACAGGAAATTTTACCGTACACAAAACTCTTATGACCCATCTAAAGTGTCTAAATAGATATGAACATAACAAATAAGTAGACATATAGAACATTTATATGTGTTAAATTACACACATATTGAGACACAGGACATTATCAAAAAAAAATTTAATCTATTTTTTCCATAGTAAAACATGCAGATAATTAAATCTACTCTACATCTACAAATAAAGGTAAATAATGTGTGAAATTTTTCAAGTACTGATTGCTCCCCCCTCCCCCACACACGCACAGACCTGCACCCACATCTATATTTTTTACTTAATCATTTTCTTTACAACTTAAACTTAAAAACTTGCATCTTCCTAAAAAGAGGAAAACATTTGAAAAACTAAGTATGATTTTTAAAATCTTATAAAAAAAACCATACATTGATAACTCACGCTGTTGGATGGCTACTGCCATAGTAACGGTGTTCAAGCATTGCAGTGTAGGCTCCATAGATTCTTGCATATGTTATCCATGCTCCTTCCACCATCCAAATGGGGTCTGCAGTTCCTTCCCCTCCAATTTGAATGAAGATTGGACCTCCAGTTTGGTAATAAGTATCATTTACAAAAAATCTCTGTTAATAATGAAAGAAAAATTTTTGAAATATCAATCACAAAAAATAAGTTTTTCAGTGAACAAAAAGTAAAATATAACTTTTTATTTAAAGATTGATTCTTAAGAGGAATAATTTCAAACCTGAAACATCTAAAAAGAAACCTAAGGGAAATAATCTATAACGGACTATGAGTTCAGGGGTATTTACACAAATTATGTAGTTACTGATCTGGTTAATCTGATCATTGATGAATTTATTTTTTAAACTTTTGAAACCTTTTTATATAGCCTAATCACCTGTTTCCAAACTCGTGAATCAGCCCCATTAAAATGGTCTAATTTCTGAATAAACCACTGCTCTGGGGGCGTCTTTGGTCTTTCCATGCCATACAAGCGGTGTTTATTTCCTAGTTGAAAATTATAAGTAATGCTATTGAAAATCATAGAGAGATACATGAGTTATTATTTTGTTTTAGCACAATAAAAAATATAAATTCTTAAAATAAAAATTAACTGTTAAAAACATTAAGACTATTCTATTAAATTTGTCTTATAAATAACACTTTTACTCACACTCAGTGACTCATAACCTTATCATTATGCCATGGAACATTATGATATGCACATAGACATAGTATTAAACAGTGCAATGATATTTAATAAACATATCAAAATATACAAGTGATTATAAATAGAATACCTATATAGTGCCATGATTAGGTCTAAATGCACTAGTAAATCATTAGATTTAGGCCTATATATGATAGTATAACTTATAACATTTATAGGCCCAGAATTATGTTTATTATTATAATTTATAAAACATAGAATGTGACAAAGGCCTACATATCTGAAATGTCTTTCTCATTATTTATTAACCAAGCTCTAAAACAAAAATTCTAAGTTAACAATATGTCATTGTCATAGTCTATAGATACTGATGATAGACTGATAGTTTAATCATATATTATATGGGCCTGATAATAATAAATAAAATTAATAAATAGCCTACTAAGGAAATTAAATAAATTAATGAAGAATTAAATAATAATTATTAAGCCAAGCTTATGTCTTACTCTGGCCTGGGGCGTAAACTTAGTTAAAGTAACTTAGTCTACAGGCACTTTGATGGATATTTCAAAACATTTTTAAAAATATAAAAATACTACAGCTGCACAGGGCCTAGAGAAGAGTCTACAAAAACACCATCATCAACTTTCTAGCACATGTGGTTCAAAAGTTATGAATTTTTTCTTTCAGGACCTCAAAACCACTTTTCACTATGACTATGATGAGGTTTTCCACCACATTTTGAGATCCTTATTTTGTTTTTGTTTTACACCTATAGAACTTCAAAAGTTTATTATGAAATGACACAAAAATATAATATTTATGGGGAACAATACAAGTTCTTCTAAATAAAGCCACAAAAGATCAATTGAGTTTTTGTTAAGTATTCCACAAATTAAAAAAAAAATCTTTATAATTTCATAAATTAAAATATATAAAATATGCTGACTCATCACTAATTTGTATTTAATTTTGTTAAAATATATATTTTTTTAAATTTACAATAATAATAACATTATTTAGATATTAAATTTCAAATTTTCTGTGGAACTGTTTAACATTTATAAGTATAAACAAATAATACACAGATTATTTGATTCATTTACTTAATTTTAAGTTAGATATGAGGCTAATTGAATTATAAATGATACTGAATGATAATCGCTTCCGGCACCGGTTGAGGTCATTGCAAACTTAAAATTTGTTGGGGGTTATCAGTCAAAGTCATGGGCACCCGCAGGGGGGAGGGGGGGGGGCAATTGATTGGATAAATAAATTTTAGACAAAAATAGACAAAAAATTTATTAATTTAAAGTAAAGAGAAAATAAAGAGAAAGTAACTAAGCTGATGTCCTGACCGTTCGTTGACCATACAAATACGCTACAGTAAATTAAAACTACATTAAAACATTACTAAAAAATGTTTGACCCCCTGAAAGTTAATCGATTTTTTTTTGCCCTCCCCCTAGAAAGTTTTCTGCGGGTGCCCATGGTCAAAGTGGCTATTCAGACCCAGGTATCAGAAGTGAGAGGCTGGGATTAAAAAAAAATATTTAAAATATTATTGTTGGGTTTGTAAGACAAAATTTGGTATCAAATGAAAGATAATTGAATGACTATATGTCTGGAAACTTACTTCTTCAGTTTAAATAAAATAAACTACCACAAATGACATCCGAATAGCATTTAGTCTAAAAGGACCCCGGTCCGAATAGCGGCTATGTGTACCTGGATCCCTCTAGATTTTAGCTATATGTGAAAGTGCCACGACTGAGCAAGAGCAATCCCTGTTGGAAACTAAGTGAGGCAATCAGAACCTCATCATCCAGATGAGGACTTACCATTGCTGATGCGCAGCTACCTCCATAGATTTGACGACATAAGAGAACCCAACTACGGTTAACTACCGATTTTGTGGCCAGACAGAGGAGACAATGTCTCACCTGGTGGTTGACTGCCCCAGCAATGGGTGGGGGGCAGATGGTCAGGACCCAGAGACCTGCCTTGAAAACATGATTTACGGTGAATCAAGTGATTTCCACCAGATGAGACAAGCCGTCAAAATATTACTAATTAGCCAGGGCTATCAGTATAGTATAATTTCATACCAAATTTTGTCTACAATAATATTTTTAAATTTATTACTAAAACCAACCTCTCACTCTTGAAACCACCCGGGTCCTAATAAGTCGAATAAATATTATTGCCGCAGCCTATTCATTTATTCAATATAATATTAATATTATAATTATAATAATAATTCAACCTGGTGATCCAACGAGTCCTCCTTTCGGTCTGCCATTGAGCATACGAGGTACATAAGCATCAATCATAAGTAGTAAACTACTTGCTATGATGAATAAAAATAGCGATAAATTCTGATAGTTCATTATTTCTTAGGGCCTAGTAATTCCTTTTAGTAGTTTTATATGACAGTGTTTTCAAGTAATGATGATTATTCTTTTAATGGGTGATTATCACATGACTTCAATGTAGTAGTCACGTTATATACAATGTCACGTGATTTTTATTTGCGTACCATGACCATGGCCTTCTTCAAATTTTCCAAAACTCCGCATTTTAAATGGAGAAAATAATATTTTAGATATTTTAAATCATCCATTTTGTTTAATAACCCATATTAAAATCAATGGTTTAAATTGTATTCGCATAAATAGAGCTGGATGTTATTATAATATATTACAAAATCATTTCAGACACATAAAAAAAAATCTTTAAAATAAATTCGTTTATGAAATGTAGACCTCTTACCAGATTGAGATTGCTTTATTTTAATTTTTCAACTCATCAAAATAGAAAATCAGAAAAAGACTTAACAATTAACAATGGCTCAACATGGCAGCGTCCATGGTTGCAGTACACATAATGAACACGAAGAGTGCCATCATCACTCTTTAAATCCTTCTGTCCACCAAACTTTGGATGAATTAGCTTTTGAAAAAGGAATCTGGGCGTCTGCGTTGGCAGGAGATAATGCTGATGTTGAGTTAAAATTGATGCGGGGCAGGGGATCTGATGTAAACAACGTCGACAAATCTGGGTACACAGCTTTGGTAGGTAAAAAAAAAAAAAAAGCATAAGTAAAAGAAAGACCGTAAAACGTAAAGTTAAAGTAGGTTGAAAATAAGTCAAATTTAAGTAATATGCGTTATGCCTTTAGTATAATAGTCACTATACGAAACAAGATGGTAAAGGAATTAGTTAATAACATATAAAACTAGATGTAGCCCGCCAAACCTTGGCGACAGCAATTCGTGAACTTCTCATCTACTAAATTTACTTGACAAAAACGTGAACTCAAGTTACGCACATTTAAGAATACCAATTTTGCTACACCCCTGTCCCTTTTCATGATACACGACCTGCGGCTTAGCAGACGCCGCAAGCTTGACAGGCAAGTGAGGGTGGTGCAGGAAAGTGGGGGTGGGCAGTAGCTCCAAAGATGGGCAGTCAAGGGAAGTGAGGGGAGGGTTTGCCTGCATCTTGCTTGCTTGCTCTGGCATATCTATATATAGCCTGCGTGGTCATGTTCCTCTTCTTGTTTTACCTATTTCTTCCAGCTAATTATATATATAGATTGTTAGTCTGTTAGTATTTTATAATTATAAATTTGTAGTTGTAGGTAACTTAAACAAGGAAATATAAATAATAAAATTAATTAATAATTACAAAGTAAATTAATATTAGACTATTTGGCTTAGGTGTTAGACTTACGGCTTTTTAATAACACTGTAACTGTGTTTACAGTCCTACTACTACAACTAACTATGACGTCTACAGTTTTAAAATTTTACAGGCCTAATTAGGTGTAGTTTAAGTTAGGTCTAGGTGGGATCCTAATGATAGATAAGTAACAGTGGACAAAATTTTGTTCATTAGATATTTATAATTTATTCCTTATAATTGTATTGTATTCCCATAGAAGGTTAGTGCACAGAATTAAAATTCTTGGGAGAGCAAAAATTGACCCATGACACTATCTATTTCATCATCATGTTTTTTTTTCAACTGTCCTGTCACCATGGTTCAATATGACTTTCTGACTATGATGTGACAAAAATTGCACTGGATAGGGGAATTAATTAATTGTTTTAACTATTAGAACTATTAGAACTCCACGAGGGTCTGATTTCACAGGGTTTTGCTTAACCTGGGAAATTGGGAATATAGTTTTGTTCATCCTGGTATTTCCTGGGACAAAATGAGGTACCTCAAACTGGCTTAAAAATGAGTTTTTGTCTCACGGAAGCCGGTATTTAGAAGCATTTCACTTAATGTTTTCTATATTAAAAATTGGTCTTATACTAATAAAAATAATATCATTTAAAATTATATTTTAGGCCCTCTGATTCTATGTCATTTTTGTAGTTTTTGATATAACAAAGTATATTACATTATTGCATGAAAACCATCACCAAAATCATTTGTTATCGACAGTCAAGCGATCATTTTTAACCCCGCCTCCCCCTGCTATTCAATCTCCATGCCGTTTTCGGTCATTCATAGTATTTTGTCACAAATAAGTGTATCATGTGCAGAAATGAATACCCCTTAGTTTCATACCAAACATTGATGTAACGTAACTTACTAACAGTTTAAATATTTTAAAATTTACAAAATCGAATAAAATTATCATTTACTATGTGATTGTGGCAAAAATGAAATTTTAACCAGCATCATTAGAAAGCTCGTCCTATTTTCTTTTCAAATACCAAAACAACACTTCATTTCCAAGCATGTACCAAAACGGCCGAGTGAAACAGGGAAACCTATAATTTTCATTCACCCCACTTGTTCCCGGTTTGAGAAAATGGCTGAAAACCACATTGACAATGCTCCATCAGTTTTCTAAATTGAAGGTAGCCGATATTAAAGGCTTAGTTGGTAAGTGAAATCAGTAAAAATATGTAATTAAATAGTTTTAAACTGTGTCATCTATTTTTTAATTTTTTATTTCTATAGGAAATTTGTATTATTGTTGATATAAATAAGTTTGTTTGTCGCTGATTATAATCATTTTTGGGTTTTTTTAAATGAACTAAACCCCCCCCCCCCCCCCCGTTGGTAGCGGAGTCTCATTTTTTCTGATTGCTCATTTTAAAATTTTATTGTCTTTCTGAAAGAGGATACTTTGAAAATTAATAACTACTGATTTTTATAGCAAGTAAATGATATTATCAGCTTCAATTTTCATAAATATAAATGGTCACATGATCGTAAGACCTTTAACAAAGAAATACATAATTTGTAGCTTAAAGTAATTTCTATTATCATAAATACTCTGGTTTTATGTTAGAGGTTTTTTGTTAGACCTAACATTTCTAACATTAATAATATTAATATGCTCAATTTTGTTAGATGATGATGAACAAATCACTGCATTACCGGTACTCTGAAAAGGACTTTTCTGGCTAGTGGGAAAGGAAGAAGACCATAATTTTCTACTCTAGTCTACTTTGTCAACTCTACTCTATGTTTTGAAAGAGGAATATAACACACCATCAGAGCAGGTAACTGAGCCTATTATTAGATTTCAATGAAACAAACGTATCTTGTCTTTTGCTCAGTCTAAGATTAAAGTTTTAGGAATTTACTCAAGTCTGAACATATCTTTTCAACTCAAAACCGTTCTTCTAAGCTTTATTTTCATGAGGGACTTGTTCCATTCTTATTCTTTCCTTTCATTTTTAGGTAGGTTAAATTTTTGTTGTTGTGCGAAGAAGGCATTTGCCAAAACATTTGAATTTATATTTCGTGTAACCTTTATTAAAGCTTAACATATATTGTTGTATTTACATAAATTGTGTCTCAATAATTCTCACAGACTAAAATGTACCACTCATAAAGTTCACAAGTGAGTGGAAAAACGTTATCAACGGTTCCCTTTCAAGATTGGATTATGTACATTGTGAAGATCAAGTTTTGGATTGCATAAGCCCTACCCTATCATCTTTTGGAATTAATAAAGACATTGTATGCTGGTTCAGTGCGAGAAGTAACTAATGAATAATGAATTTATTATTAATTTTTATGAATATTCTGCTGTTAATTCCATTTATAGTAGTCTTTGTTTGTTCTGTGGAAGTGAAGACAGATGTCATTTAAAGAAGAAGATAGACAATTTCATGAAAAGTTACCAAAAAATGAACTACCTGTATCTAAATGTGAAACCAAAACTCCTTGAACTCTTAAAAAAATTCATGAGTCATATGTTTTTTGTTAACATTGTCACTAACCCTAGCAACAACAGAGAAAAATATATACCTTTGTTAGGTAAAGGGGATGAACTTACAACAACAGGCTTAAGACAATGCAAGATTATTAATTGTAAGAGTTAATGAGCTAGAAATTGAAAAGATGCAGCTAAATTGCAGAAGAATTAAATTAAATATGTTGAAGTTAAAATTAGGAAATCATTAGCAAAATTTAGAGCCCTAATCTCTTTATAAAATTAAACATCATTAATCAAAAACTAAAAATTGTTATCCAAATTCTTCAAAAAGAAAATAAATTCATATTTTTCATTTCAGTTAGACCCGCTCAGGGAGCAAATGTTACTCAAGTGTTAAAATACTTCATATATAAATAGAAATGCAGGACAATTTTAGTTACCCGGTATCTATTTTCTTGAAGTTGATTTTTTGGGGATGCAAAAAATTGTTTGTGTCTACTCATGCTTACAGTGTGTATAAATAAATGTTATAGCTAAGTACACTGACAGTTTATCATAGGGTATTCTAGATATTAATCAAATTTTCTTATTTGTAGCTGTAATATTAGTAATAACTAATCCATTTTTTTAAATTATTTTTTCCAGAATGTGAACCCTTGCTCTGTTCTAGCCATGTTTGTATTATATATAAATAATTAATGGGCTCAATGACTGTTTAAATATGTAGAGCTATAGTTACTCTATATTCTAATATAAAAGCGTAACTGTGGGTTTAAATATTGATTTTTTGCAATCTTTTAAAAATGACAGAGTTTTTGCTTCACATGAACCAATGCACTATTCTTAAAAAGTGTGTATTTTTAATATACTTGTTATGGGTACACAGGCTATTTAAGCACAAAGACCTTTAATTCCCCTATATTTTGATGTAATTATCATGTATGCTTTCTTATCAGTTAATTTTTGGTGATTATGTGCAAATATTGCGTTTTTTTACCTCCGTTTTATTGTTTTCAAAATGTGAGGAAACACCATTTTTATTACAATAAAATTTAATGAATTAATTATTTTTTAACCTTTGAAAAAAATTGAGTCTGTTCTTTATATATATTGGTATGTGTTGTATGTAAATGAATGTCTATAAGTGATTTACTTTTACAGATATAACCTTACAAATATGGCACTTTTAACAGTTGCGAAAAAAAAATATGAAAATACTAAATTTAAAAAATTTATAACATTTTACTGAGTTATATGAACAAGTTTGGTATTCACGTTCTTAGAATCATGCGTTCTTGGCATGACAGTATAAAATAAAGCTATAGGACTGTTTTGAAAAATTATTTTGAGGTACCTAATAAAATCTATTTAATAAAAAATATATTATAAATTGAATTAAGCAATTAGAGTTAAAGTTTATAGTTGTTTAATTGTAATTAATTAATAAATAACAGTGTTAAGGTTAGTTGAGAGGTTAGTCACTTACTACTATTTGCTTGATTTTCCATGGCTATCTCTAGTTATGGATAACTAGCTAATAATTTGCCCGTTAGTCAAAATTTGGATATAACCTCCTGTAGAAAAAACAACACTTGAGTTTTGCGTTCTTTACAGCTTACACTTACAGGTCACTAATTCTATTTTTGAATCCTTTTCTAAATATTCAAAGCAAATGTTTCTAACAACTTGTAACAAGGGGTTTGTTTTAAAACTAAAAAATAGGAATGTTAATCTACATGTAACTATATATCTCATTGTATAAGTATATGTATGGGGGGGGGGGGGGCCCCCTTTTAAAATTTCAGTGAGGTTTTGATTTTCCCCTTTTTTTTTTTAGTTAAAATTTTGTTTTATTTCCCTTTTTCTTTACAATCCTTGTTTTTACGTTGAATTTTTTATGTATGGGGGGGGGTGGGGGACCACTTGTAAAAATTCAGTGAAGTGTTGAATTTACACATATTTTTATTAGATAAAAATATGTTTTAATTACCATTATCCTTACAATACTTGATTTTAAGCTGAAATTTTGGGCCTTCCCTTATAAATATGAAGATTTACTGAAATAGTTTTTTTTAGAATATCTCTTATAAATTTATAAAAGCATGTTAATATGTTAAAATAAATGTATCATCCAATGATCAATGTGACGATTTAACATAGCCAGACCATCAATAATTTATCATTAGGCCTACAGAGTTTATTTTTCTTTAAAAATATTGCTCCATTATCTGGTGTGCAATTATATAATGATTGTAATAAATTACTTAATATTTAACAGTGGCTTTACTCTTATTTTTAGCACTATGCATGCAGAAATGGTCACATCAAAGTTTGCAGAACCTTACTAAGCTACAAGGCTGATGTTAATGTAGCTACTATTGCAAGCAAAGCCACTCCATTACACAGAGCAGCATACATGGGCCATTCACAGATTGTTTCCCTCCTCATGACACACGGAGCAGACCCAAAAGCAATTGATTGTGATGGAATGACAGCACTTCATAAGGTAGAATTTTTGTCAAATGCCTTTTTTAATTTTTACTTTTTTAACTGTCACAAAACGAAATAAGAATCTAACATTTACCTGCATTTCTCCCCCATCTCATTTTTTATTAATGGAATGATCAAATTTTTTTGTACCTGTAGTTACAAACCCAATTTTTAATTGAGTTAAAATTAAAACTAGAAATTGAAGAATATTGTTTATATATTCTCATTTTGTTTATGTACCTGGTAGTTATGATAAAATTGATAGCTCAAAAACACATCCTTAATATTTAAAAAATCAATGTACTGTATATAAATTGATTGATTAATTATAATAGAAATAAATACACAGTACGGTAATATTCAATTTGCATGTTACTTTATTATTATTAATATTATTATCAATTTATAGTTATATTTACATACATTGATTATGAAATTATTCTGTTTCTGCTGTAGGCTGCTGAGAATGGACATGTTGATGTTATTGAAATCCTGGTTAAGGCTGAACCCACCATTTTATTTATGGAAGATAACAGAGGGAGAAAGCCTACTGACATAGCCAAAACTGATGAGGCTTTAACTATGCTGAAACTGTAATTTTAAAAATGTCAAGTTTGGCCTGTGGTTTTGACATTTGAAGACATTTGGGCCGTTACAAAACTAGCCAATAAATATTGTTTGATCTGGATAATTCCAATTGAAACCATCTTTAAAAAAGTTCTCAAAGACTGTGAAAATTCCTGCTGTTTGGAAGGTTAGGTTACTTCTTTAAATCAACTTCCTGTCGCCGGAGAATGGCTAGGAGCTGCGCCGATGTCGAAATCAGTCAATGTCAAATAATTATCTGCTAACTATTGTGTACCAGTGCTAGTATTTGGTAATTTCTGGTAATTTATTTTATATTTCAATATAATAGAGCTTCTATTTGAGTTAAGATATGTTCAAGTAAACCATTATTACAACAACTTGGTGGAGAATCAGAAGCAATGTCCCTCTGATTCCCATAAAATTGAACCATTGCCCATAGACCGGAAAAATTAACCTAACAATTGACATAAAAAGAGTTCGTTATGTCATATTAAGCTATTAAGTCTTACAGCTCAGGAAAAAAGTAGAATATTTGGTGTTCTCCCATGTCTTTATGTTAACACTGATGAGACATCACATTAAGGAAAAAAAAACAATAGACATTGGTAGGGACCAGCTTAGGTAGAGTCTTGCCTGTACATAATTTTGTACTACCTAAAAAAAATTTCAAAATTCTAATGACCTAAGTGTACTAGTATGTATGGGGTTAGAATGTAGAAGCTGTAATGGGTGGTTGAGTGAGTGAGAGGTGACTGATTTATATATGTGGTAGACTTACTTAGTGATACCCTGGAGGAGCCAACATAAGAAGATAGTGTAGGGGCTTTGTATAGTATAATGTAGTGTAGGGGCTTTGTATAGTATTATGTAGTGTAGTATGTTTCAGAAGAGCCATCCTATTACTGCATATGTGCAAGTACCCTAGTTTTAGCCACCACCACTTATGTCCACCTAGTATTGCCTTGATACTGAGATCAATGAGTAAATGTGCTGTGTCATTCCTTAATACCCATTCCGCCCTAGAATGGGAAAAGGTTGTTTACGTTTGAATGTGTTCTATTTGTTCTAAAGAATGCTATCAGCTGATGCAATTTCTAGAATTTCTTACCAGTAACTAGATTGTTCTGATTTAATCACTTTATGTAGGCCATCAGGTTTCTTAGACTTCAGAAATTAGAGATTTTTGCTATATGTCATAACATATAGACATTATATAATTCTGTGTGAGTAAATTAATAATTGTATTTTTGAGGAGTGTATCTTTTCACTTGCTGTGCTGTACAATACATGATGCTTTGTCTAACAGCTATATACTATTGTGAATTATTCACTGATTGAGTGGGTTTTGTAATGTAATAATTGTGGATACATATTTGTCATAAGTTTCCACTTCAGAATAAATGCAGCATGAGTATAAAAAGAGTAAAACACATTTCGTATAAATTATTAATAGAAGTGCAGAGAGAGTGGCTCTAAATAATCTATAACCAATCATAAATTATTGATGCAAAATGGATCATTTGAGTGCTATTTTGAATTAAAGAGCCATATTTTGAATAACTAAAATTGATTTGACTTGCAATTGCATTATTTGAAGAGCATTAGCCTATTGGCAGTCGCATTTATTACCATCAAGCACCAAAGTATACCTATGTCTCTATATTGAATGAATAAAAGTTTAGATACCCAGAGACAATTTTCATTTTTGCACCTGAAACAAATAGCAATGACTCTAATGGACCATTCGTTTATGAATTAAAGTGTTAAAAATATCAAATAATTTTTTAAAATTTAAATAGTAGGCATGTAATTAATTAATGCAATATTATAAATATTATTGAATGAAATTTTGTTACTAATCATCACCTAAAATTGATACAATCAGGCAGACCACTGTCACTGGAACAATAACATATTTCAATATAGTTATAGTGACAGAAAACAAATATTCACATGAAACAAGTTTAATTTCTGTTGCAACATATATCATGAAGTTAATACAGTATAAAACTCAAATAATTGTCACTTTTCACACTTCTATTAAGTAAAGTAGTTCTGTCAATAAACTTAAACGTTCATAATTTAAGTTAATTACATCTACTCGTCGTATTTAATTTATACTTAAGACAACAGAAGTATTATTAATGCAAATGGCATGGTGGTATCTTATGTTGGATTAATAGCACAATAAATAAAATAACTTTAGTCTAACAACTTGTTTCTATTACTAATATTATAACCAATATGTTTCAAAATGCTGTAAATAATACCCCAGTCACTCTTTTAAAAACTCTTCATTTAAAACAACATCATTGGATGTTGAGTGACTAAAGTACTTTACAAACAATTTAAATTCCTTTTGTGCTAAAGACGCCCCAATAAACATATTAAATAGCCCTAGCATTAAAAGCACATTAGCTGTAGGAGAAACCTGCCTTACAAGTCTTAAAAAAACCATTCCTTTTGAAGCCTGGGGCATGGGCAATGTGTAATATTCCCTTGCTGTAAGTACGCAAGTCAGGAATGAAACAATGAATGTGTAGCCGACACCCAAGGTGGCCTGATAAAACCCTGATCTGAGAGCGACGCAGGTCACACATGACTCCTTGCCGAGGAGAATGGACTGCTTGACATTAAATTCATGTACAATTCCAGCTAAACCGCCACAGACGGCAACAGTTGGACCATATGTGAGCATTTTTCGCAGCCCACCAAGTTTGAAATTTCTGCGCATTGTAGAAGCGATTATAAACCCAGAAAGTCCAGCACAAGCACCAAGTGTGTAAATTCCATAATTCAATGCTCGACTGAAAGTTGAAAAGAAGGATACATTAAAGTTAAAAGGTAAAGTTCATAAAAATTTTAATAATCTTATGCAAATCCATTTGCACTCTTATACATTATTTTTCAGCACCGCTAATTTTTTAGTAATTATCAAATATATGTAAAATCTAAAAAGAAAAGCTTTGCATTTCAATCTTAAACAAATAAAATTGAACGGTCATCAAAAGTAAAAGGAAATTTATGGTTTTAAAATGAATCCTACTGTTCACTATGAAGCATGCCCATGTGTATAATTTCTACCCCCAGAGCATCTATAAATAAAGGCCATTTCAAATAATTTCATCGTTAGTTTGCTAAAACTAATCTTTAACTTTAAGTTTGAAACAAAGATGATTTTCTGTCTTTACTAAATAGTAATTTTTTTTTTTATGGGTTTATATGATAGACTTATTTCTACTAACAAATTAATCCTAAAAAATCAAAATAGCTTACACTTCAGACTGTGGTTGGATGTTTTTTAAACGTTGCATCTGGTAAATTAAAACTTCATCATCTTGCATTAAGATAGCATTTTGTGGTACTGCATCCCCTCTCTTGAGTAGAACAGGTTTTGATCGCAGTCCTGCCTCAGTCATTTTTTGTTGATATCTGGAGATAAAAAAATTGATTCATTTGACTTTTGATTCATGACTTTTCAAAGATGTTCGTTCAATTAAAAAAAAAATTGAAAACTTATCTAAAACAAATTTTCATTTTTAAATGATTTTCAATGAACCATTTTATTAGAGAATAGGCCACACTTTTTTTTTTTTACCAAATACTTCGATAAAAATCAGGAATGCCAAATGCAACCTATCCAATCGACATTAATTTTGCCGCCTACTGCCATTCAGTGTGGAGTACTTAGTAGTCATTTATATGATAAGTCGGATATCGCTTCCTCCCCTGCTCTTGCTATCAGTTTTTTTTTATGTCTATTAAAATTTAAGTACACATAGTTTATGATGATTGTTTTTGAATTGTTACGGAAAATTTTTTGTGATGTCTGTTTAAAAAATAGTTACATTTATCATAATTTATGTTAAAAAAGGGCCATGCTACTCCCCAAACTAAGGATGCTAGTCAAAACAGAATAATAATAATAATAAGGGGTCTTATATAGCGCGGTACCCCAGCCAGTTTACAAGCCACATATGCACACACTAAAGGTGCAACCTATTTGCAAGTATATGGGGTATATAAATACTGTACCAATCAAGAAGAATATGGAGAATGATTAGTAACTAGTAGTACCAAACTTAATGATTATTGGATTGAACTATACACTGCGGTGAATGCCACAATGACAATATTTCAATTTCAATTGAGAAAACCAATATTTTAGGATCTCAGCTCCAACTGATGTCAATATTTCTCTGAAGATGAGGATTAATACTAACAAATTGTAAACTGGTAACTAATTCCGTCATGCCAGATGTCAAATCAAGGAACACTTTATCGTCATGTGTTTTCACCAGGATGACGGAGCGACTCTTGATAACATTCATTAAGATATTTTCATTTATTTTAATTTTATGATTATTTACTTTATAAATAAACAATGAAATATATTCATATTATTTGGCCCTTTAACCCTATAACTGTCAAGTGCATTTTTCCGTAGAGTCAAATAATTTTTTAGCATTTTCATGTGCTTGTCAAAAATTAAAAATCACATTCTAAATGAATTCAGAAACCCTTTCAAGTATACATTTTCTGAAAGTACATTGGAAAAGGTATCTTATGGTATGAATTTTTTTTTTATATTATGTATTTTGATCTTGAAATTTACAGAGTGAGTAAAATTTTACTAATCAACTTCTGAATTCAACCCAACCTAATAGTCGAAAGTTGTTCAAACTATAACAAAATCAAGTTTTTGAGATACCAGACGCAATATTCTTTCATAAAATGCCAAGTTATGTTATAGTATAAGTTATAGGTAATTATATTACTGGTATAGAACATTTTAATTTTTAAAAATATTTTTCATTCATTAGCTTCAAATTTCTGTCATAAAAAAAAGGGGGCAGAAAGCACAAAATTAGTTTAAAAATTCCTTTTTAATTGAAGTTATTCAATCCATTTTTTTTACTAATACTCCAGAATATACACCAACATTAATTTCTTTAGGGTAGTTATTTGAGATTCAACCTTTGTCTTTTCTACTCGATTTCTACCCTTTCCAAAACTGAATTTGTCTATAACAATATGATTAAACTTAAGTGCTAAAACTCAATACCTGGCGCTTATGTCGCCTTCACCCCTAGAGCTAATACTGTTATAACAACACATGGAATATCTATGTATCATTGCTTTCTTTTCAATCTATTTAAATTAATTCCAATAAAGAGACTGTTTTAATTTTGCAATTGGGGGTGGGGGGATGCATCTCCAGAGAGCATTAAAAAAATGGAGTAAATTTCAAACCCGATTAATCACAAAGCAAGCCCTAATAATAAAAGCATGTTAACACACGGTTGTACTGACTATGACAGAAACAAGAAGCAAAGTCATTTATATAATATAAAGTGAATTCCAACTAACCAATTTACATTAAATCATTTGTATTTTTAATGACAATTTTGCTAGCTGCTGATTATATCAGCTGTGACATGATGGACCACAGAAAGGAGTATGATAGGATGGCTAAGGACTAAGTAATAAAAAGGTACTTCACTAAAAAATTTAAAGTTGTTATATATTAATAAAACTTATATCATTAGAAAGGACTCAGTATTTCATTTCCATTGATACCAAATTTATTTTTCTATCTTAATTAGAAAAAAAGTTATTACATTTTTAGAGTCATAATTTTTCCTTATATAGCCTTAGTAAATAATTTCCAAAATACTGTGACCGAAAATAGTCATCTTTGACACTCAAAACGCGATAACTTTTTGGTCAGCAAAGTTAAAGCTCTGAAATTTGCAGCGCATTTCAATTAAGTATTGGGATTCAATAATAAATTATTACTAATTATATATTACAATAAATATATTAATGGGTGGGATTTGAACAACAGAGTGTACGTAAATTTCATTGAAAATGTAGCGCCCGTTTTCAATACTCAAAATTCCATAACTTTTTTAATTATAAAGTTAAAGCCTTCAAATTTTCAGCACAGTTTAACTAAGTATTGGGCTTAAATAATAAATTATTATTATGCAAATATTACAATAAATATATTAATGCGTGGGATTTGAACAACAGAGGGTAAGTAAATTTATTGTTTAAAAAATTTGATGTGTTCAACACTCAAAGTACCAGAACTCTTTCACCTGTTAAATTAAAGCTTTCAAATAGTTTAATTAGTTATTATACTGTATTAATAAGTATATTTCATATTAATATTGAAATAAATATATTTAATTGGTGGGATCCAAGCAACGGAGAGTAAATAAATTTAATTTTAAAAATTAGCCTTTTCGTGAATTAAAAATACAAATTGCATAAATATTACCAATCCAAATTATTGAATTAATGAATTTAAAGCATACTATCATATAGTGAATAATTCCAAAAGGTAAGGTAGGGCTTCAGCTGCCTTTCAAGGACAACCACAAATCCCTCAGCAAGAGCTCTTGTAATCTCGTTGAACAATTCATCTGTCCCTCCATTTTTCAAGCTTGCCAGTGCACGGTCGTCTGTTGCAAGGCAGTTGTTGAAGCAGTCCTCTCCCATTGATATCAAAAGGTCTGGTTGTAGCTTCAACTTCGACAACTGCTCCAGACACACCTTTATGAATGGTCCCTAAAAAAAACAACATTTATTTAAACTGTATAGAAATCACAGGTTTAGCAAATATTGGTACTAATTCAGTGTATGACTAACAACTAGAAGCTGGTACAAACAAATAGATTACCATTTCCAGATGAGCTCTTCCAGCTTTGTTCTGGTAAAATAGAGTCATCCATGGTCCTGACAGCACTTTTCCAAACAAACCTGAGCAAAGAAATTAATACAAAAAATTGTAAATTACTGTTATGAATCTACAAAAAGTTTCCAAAACTTTTAAAAAGACAACATGCTATTAAAAAATACATGGAAAATTATACACTTACCTTACAAATATCTGTAAAGATGTGGTTGTGTGTTTATGTGTGATTGATATAATTTATATATAAATGATAAAGAAAATTAACTGTTCAACACCCACCTGAGCTTGGAAATAGAGTAAATTGGCTGCTCTTCCTTCGGATCCAAATAGTCCACTATTAACTTTAAATTCGTTATCCAATTTCTTCAAGATTCTTCGAGCTTGGGAAGCTATACCTTCAATGGGATGCACATTGCAGTTTAGCTCCACCAACTCTGTACTTAAAAATGCAGACAATTCTTGATTGACGCAGTGATTTACTGCTGCCCTGTCAGTAAGTGTTGAGGCAAAACAATTTTTGAACTTGTGCATCACTATTTGCTGTTGTATGTTCTTGTACAAAGCAAAAGTAGTTGCAAGGTTCTGTATGGATGTTGCAATTTGCCCAACATATGATTCTGTTTTACCACTTGACAGTGATGAAAGCTTCATCAATAATTGCTGACCATCAACAGCTATATGACACTCATTGAAGTCATTGACATGGCAGCTTTCTTTTGTTGTTGCATCCCAAGAAATTGTTGCAGTGCCATCTTCCGCATTGAATAAATGCTCCCCTAACTGCAAATCTGAAATAACTCCCATCTCATAAGCCATTAGAGATGCTGTAGACGGTCCAGGTATACTTGACACTGTCAGATGGCAGAGCTCTTTAACGACAAATTCAATTATAGGTCCAGCCTTCTCTATAGCAACTTGGTTTAAAAGGCACATGGATATGCATTTTCGAATTGGAACACTATATTGTTTTCTCTTGTGCTCCATCGCAAAATCCCCTAAAGTTGTTACAACTGTAGCAGTGTTGAACTGCTTCTCCAATTCTTTTACCCTATTCATCAAACAGCAAACTTCTAAGTTCAATTCCTTTATTCTTTCCTCTTTATCCTTGATAATATTTGTCAATTCTAACATTTTTTTTTTTTTAAATTGCACTCCTTTTTAGTTTGAATTCTTTTCTCAGTTTTTCTAGGAGGGGGAACATCTGATTTAGATTTTAAATAATTGAGCTTTTTCTGCAACTTTAAATATTATTTTCTTAATGAAAACTTTTCTTGTCTCAACTTGTCCCTTGTTGCTGCATTTCTTTTAAAATTGTAATTGACTCTTTTAACATCAAAATGCTTTGAAATGTCTCTTGCTAAATTTTTTGAGGCTCTAGGTTTGGACTTTAAATCAGAAATAGTAGTCATAAATGATTTTCTTATTACTGGGCACTTATTACAGTCTCTTTTGAGTTTCATTTCCGTCTTTTCTTTAGCACTTTCTTTATTTTCATTAGAAATGACAGTGAAAGCTTCAGGTATTGGCTCTATCTTCTTTACTGACTTTACTACTGGTATCCTAAAAGGTAAATTCCAAATTTCAGTAATTTGATTCAAGTTTTTGTTGATGCTCTTCTTAAATATTTGAACTTCTCTGGTCAAGCGTGCTAATGCCGAGTTTATCCCTATGACTGTACATTCATGGCCTCGGGCTGTCAAGATTTGATGTAACATGTGTGACGTTTTAACATTATTTTTATTATGCGTAAGCCAGGTTTGTAACACATATCCATTAGGGATCATTATTCCGTCATGAGATATGAATTTACATTAATAAGCCTCGTAATCTTTATTAGTCCTTATTACAGATCGCCCATCCACTGGAATGGACAGGCAAGAAGCAATGGTAGTGCTAGAAGCTCCTCCAAAAAGTGGGGGTGACATTCTTGTATAATTGAAAGAGAGAAAATGCTGAAACAGATAATAAAAAATTTTGTTATACAAAAAAGTGTCAAATTTAATATGTTGAGCTAAAGCAGTAAAGCTTAAAGTTAAAGGCAATAAATTAAATAGGGTATGCAAAAAGAAAAAAGAGGGACAGGTTGTTTAGAAGACAAAGGTAAATAAAATTATGAAACTCAAAGAAAAAGATGATCATGATGTTCAGCAGCTACCGAGCCTATTAACTATTATTTATTAATTATTAAGATAAATTATATCATTATCCAATTATCCTATGGCATTATTATTTATATAGTAAAAAAAAAAATAATAATTCCCAGATGTAAAGGTATATAATTATTACAATTACAACATAGATTTAGATGACTCGAGTTCATTTAGTTTTGACATGGTTATCATAGTGATCATAATTTTTTTCTCTAAATTTTTAAACTAATCAAATATATAACTTCATAAAATATATATAAATTTGTGTTCAGTCATGAAATTCAAACAAATTTAATAACTTAAATCAATTGGATGGCTTCTAAAAGCATTGGATTTATATAGATTTTAAATACTTCTTATGCAATAAGAAGAAGAATAACAACAGTGACAACAGAGAATGGTTATCACTTCCGGTTCATTTGGCCTAATCGATTACTGGTTATGAATTATTTTCAACTTTACACCCTGTCTATACAATTTTTGGCCTATCTAAATGTCATTATGTTTCTTGTTTCAGTTTGTTGAATCGTTAATACATCGAACACACAAAGAATTAAGTACAACACTATTATGGTTTCCGAAAAATAGTGCTAGCAAACTTACCTGTTTTCCCAACAAAAGATATCTGCTATAAGCGCTGGAAGTCTGATTAAAAAGATGAGATCGTGATGATCGCTCTCCTCGTGTGCACAAAATAGGCAACAATAAGTTCATTGTCTCTTCTTTATATAGACAAAGGAAGCCAGATCTCCATATGACCCTGTGACCAACCGGCATTGACCGGTCGCCGGTTAATGGTCTGTTTCTCGCATCCGAAAAATCAACCGGCGCGCGCAGCTTAGTGAAGTCGCTATAATAAGTAAAATAAAGTGCTGGTATAGTATAGGCGGTATATGAAAACCTGTAAAAAAAGACAACAAACCAAACAATGTGTTGGCAAGAAGCCTTCTTCAACAAACAAACCATAGTAAAAACAGTATATACAAATTTTAATAAACACTTAGCTGCAATGTAGTATTGGATTTGGGAGGACAGAGGAATGTCCTCTAGGACTCCTAATCCTATATTTAATTACATTGCAGCTGTGTTTACCTTAATTTTCAGAGAACACTCTAATATGAATGCTCCTATCAGTCCTAAAAAACTTACAGAGGAGTTATTTAAATAAGTGGCTCAAATAAGTTTATTAGTAAAGGTCTAGTAATCACTAGAGCTCGAGGTGATGATGGGTGGTCGGCTGGCATCGAATAAAATTCAGCTGTGAAGACGTGTGGCACGCGTACTTTTGAGCGACAAATTCAACATTTGCTCAAACTAAATGAAGTTGAATTATTATTCTTTTATTTGGACTAAATATATAGAAATTTCCCTTTTCACAAATGTCCTTTAACTTGCAAACTTAAATGGGAAAATAAAGTAAAAATTTGTTAAAACACTAAATGAAACTGTGAAACTATTCAAGGTCGTTAAAGCAAAATATGTATTTTTTTAATTTCCTTTAAAGAAGATTCAAAAACAAAATACTTATTTAAACATTTCTATTAAAGACTGTCTCCGGCTCAAAGTGGCTACTTTTATCGCAGCAGTAAACTTAATATAGGTAATGTCTTGTAAAACGGCGGTAAACGCAGTATTGAATGTGTTAGGTGCACCGCGGCGATGATCTTAGTGCCCGCTAAAGATAAAATAAGCAATCCCATATGAAAAAAATATTTTATTGTAAAAAAACACTAAAAATTATTGAAATGATCTAGAATAATGAGCATAGCTTTAATTGTGGTATCAAGTGAATTATTAATTACATTTTAACCATGGCCGTGCAGAGGAATGTTGGCTTTGGGGCCGTTCGCAAATTACGTCACGCTCGAAAAAAAAAAAAGGGGGGGGGGGGGCGCCCCTTTCAAAAAAAAAACTAAAAGGGGGGGGGGTGGCGCCACTTTCAAAAAAAAATCTAAAATGTTATAATTTTGAACAAATCTTTATTTAATTAATTATAAAAAATTAATATGAGGTCGAAATTGCCCCAGGTATTATAGGTACTATGAAACATAGTTTTCTTATAATACTACATCTTAATTCATTTTGGGAAAATTTTAAAGAATAAAGTAAAATCTTAGTTTAGTTGTGAAAATTTTATGTATTGTTTGAATTTTTTTTAGGTGTGACGTGACACTGGGGGTTGGGGGGGGGGTAAAGAATTTGTGAAACTTCGTGACGGGGGGAGGGGTCTAAACGACCCCTTTGGTGAAGATGAGCTTGGAGCAAAGCCACATTTTGGGCCTCCACAAATTTCAAAATAATTGCATCAAACATTTTCTGAATTTTATACAAATGATACCTTATAACTTTATTGAAACATTACAAAATCACTTTCTCATTTTTTTTGTTTTCAAATTCGTCATCAAACATTTTGTAAATTTGAGACAGAAGATTTTTATTTAAACAATTTTTAGGAAATTTTTACCCCCTCCCTTCCCCTTGTAAACAACTGTCAAACTTTCAAGGACTTCCTAATTAATTATGTCAACATATGTTACCCTATCCCCTCTAAGAAAAAAAATAAATACATACTTTTTAATGCTCGAGATTTAGAAATTTAATGAATTTATTAAATACATAATGTAAACAAATTTTACATTTTGTAACAGTTAGAATCTATGACTAGTCAGTTTAACATTGCAGAATGTATTGCAGAATTGATGGTGTAAATATTTTCTTTATTAAATTTATTGCTAGTTATTTTTTCATCATCACGTTGATAAGCTAAGTGTTCCTCTTTTGCAATAGCGAGTGGTCACAAATTAAGTTATTATTGCCATAATAACATTTTCATGGAACAGACTGATATAATCTTTCTCTAGTCTAACATTTTAGCGCTGAAAATTTGAGCATTTTCTTTGTATGCAATAATTGCCATCATAACCTTCTATCATTCGTCAAGACACTTGTAATAGTGAGGACCAGGTGGTAATTTCTTAAGCCAAATAAGGTATTGTCTGTGTTTATCTGACCATTTGAAATTGTAGGCTACCGATTTTTATAGCAATTAAAATTAACACAAATTTTGGAAGTCTTTTAATGATTTGTATATATATAAACTATAGAGCCTATCTTTGTCAGCTGTTGCAAAAGTTTTTCACTCCTTCCCACTATTTTGACGTAATTAATGGATGGTCCCCTAAAAACACTCATCTTGCCCTTTTTTGTTTTGGAAATTTGTCAAAGATATTTGAAAAATCAAGCTTCCACACACTAAAAGAGACCTCATACTTAATAAGGCCAAATAACCCATTTTTTCTTGAGCCATAATTGACCTGGTGTAAAAAACTGCACCCAGTTAAGCTCTAGTAAGTATAGTATAGTTTGCTGTGTATGTCTAAGCTTAATTTAATTTTTCAAAAATGAAACAAATCTAACAACAAAGTGCATGAAATGTTTTTGAAGGTTATAACTTTTTATGTACCCTGGTAACTTTTTGATTTGTTTCGGACAGAATCCCAACACAACTTGAAAAATAGCTGTACCAGTAGCATAAGGTGACACCACTGTTAAGTCTAAAAATAATTTTAAATTATTAATTGTTTACTTAATCAAAAGATCAGGTATCCTAGTATAAATAAATGACACAACTAAAATAAATATAAATTGGCATCACAATATGTTTTTAAAGAATGTCTCACAGACAGAAAAGCTCTCTACATGTTATCGCAAACAATTTTTTTTGTACACCAATGGTGCAAAAATATTTTAATTAAATGTCTGTGTTACGCACTGACTTGTATTGGGAGAAATTAATCTCCTATTTTAATTTAAATTGGCTCGTTGCAAGCAGTGCCTAACAAAGGACGATACCATAGAATCAACAATATTAAAGATACGACCCAAAACAGTTTCTAGTTACAATTTAATTAAGATTTATTGTCTTAAGATAATTACAAAAGAAAAGAAAAATATAATTATAATCTTCAACTTACAGTATGGTAGTTCTTGTACCGGTACACAGTTAACACAGTTAGAATAATGTGCCAATAAATAATGCGAATTAAACACATATAAGCTCACAAATACACAAAGAATAAAACACGCCTCGTAATGTTAAGAAAATCTATCTGAAAAATCTCCCTCTCTCGTCCATGCCTGTCAATCCCTTATATAGGTGGGTCTACCGACGCCCAAGCCCTGCCTTCGAGCCGCTACAAGGCATTTCTAGAAAAATCCCATTTATTCTACAAAATACTATTTGGAACAGATTCATTATTTTTAGTGGTTGGCGGTGTAAACAAGAATACTTCAAAGGCCTAAGCCACACCCCTTTGTGAACACAGCGTCTCATGCGGGGTCAATCAGAGGACACGCACGAGAAATATTATGTAAACAAGCTCTCTATAACAGTCTGTTTTTGAAGAAAAAGATGGGTCACTTTATTGTAGGTAGCTGCGAACACTTTAAAAAAGTCTACAGAGTCTGTTTTGTCTTTTTTTTTCATTAAACAATTTTAAGGATGTAATTTTGTTTATAAAACAAAAAATTGCTCATAATTTAGTTATCAATAATATCAGTGGAAGTCCACCTGAAGTGCTACTCGTATACAAGATCTTTATTATCTCTTATTTAACCAACATTTTATTCTTTGTTATACCTTTTTTTTTTTTTAAAATCCTTCACTTCACAAAATATCTCCTATAAACTGTAAGTGTAATGTAAGGAGATTGAGCCCTAGCTGTAATTTAGTATCATTGTTATGCCTTAACACCCCATGTCATCCATATGACTAGCCATTTTAAAATTCAATATCAATGCACAATCTACAAGTGTACCAACTATTTACTACTAATTCCTCCAAATGCTTCTGATAAGAATCGTACTTATAAAGAAATCAAACACCAACAGGAGTTTTTAAATCATATTTTAATTATAACTGTAGCACTTCTCATTTACTTCACTCATTATAAAATAGCATTTGCAATACATCGACAAAACAAAAACAACATGCTGCCATTAGACATTTCATGCTACCTCCATCAAAATTGGTAAAATATGTCTTTATCCAAGTGGAGTAATTATTTGCATCCATTAGTCCTAAAAACCATAGAAGTTTGTGTTAGCACTTAATGGTCTTGTATTTTACTCTCTCCTGTTCTCTATAATTCCACTATGGCTATTTTGGTGATTATGGTATTATAAGGTCTTCACTGAAAATTTTTATGAAATATCTTTAATTCCCCAGTCCGTTTCCTTACTGTAAGTTACATACAGTATATTACCGCCAACGTAGTCAAATGCAACTTATAAGACTTCAATTCAAAGCATAACTGCCTACATGGACACATAGAAGTTACAAGATATTTTGTTCAGTGCTTCAACTTCTCATGGACCATGGACCTGAACTGTGAGAGAATCTTGGCTTCTCTTTTGCTCCTCTCTTCGTGGTTGAATGTAGCTAAGGCTCGTTTCTCATCAGCGCTGTAAATCTGGTTTTCCTTCCTGAGACGTACGGCCTCCATACGACGGTGCCTGTGGACAATTTTCCACATGGGTTAAACTTCATAAACTAAATATGGCTATTATTTTTTTTTTGTATCAATATGCGCAAATTATCAATCAAGCTCTTACATGTACCAACTGAAGTACTATTACAGATACTTGTCTATTTAAATAGTAAAAGCTTGCATAGTCAAAAGTTTCTTTCCAAAATATAAAACTGTATAATTATGTATCAAAATGTTAAACCTTATATTTATGAATCAACAAGCCAAATTGTTTTATAAAAATTGTACTTGTTTAGAATAATTATACAAGTGCCTCAAACATGCCTCAAATTAAATAAATACAGTTCTGTTAAAAATGCAAGAGCAAGGTAATTTTATCAACTAAAGCTTGGAATGGGACAATCATAATGCTCAGCAAAATTATTATAAAATAGATAATAAAGGCAATGGCGCCTTCTAAATACTTCACAGCCTATAACTATAATTTTGAATGAGTTGTAAGAAGGCATCAATTTAGCAATTTGTATCTTACCTGCTGCCACTCATGACATAACCAACTTGTTCAAACGAGTCAATTTCATCACAGGTCAGACCAATCTCACCACGACGGGGAATTCTCTTGCCCTCTGCAATATAAGCTGCCATGGCAGCACCTTCACCAGGAAGTAAAGCTCGACCGAAGCTGAAATGAAAATGTAACAATTTTAAAATTTAAAGCTGACATGAACATTTAACATTTTTAATCGATTTACTTGTTGTAAAATAAAATTTTAACTGACTGCCAGCAGTTGCCCCAAATAAATTGGCTCAAGGAAAATAATGTCTTTATTATAAAAAGTTTGAGGGCGGTTCTTATTTTTTGCACTTGTAAATTAACACATAACTTCTACTTCTGATGTATGCAATTATGTATGAATTGCGGAAGATTTTGAATCAGTTATTCAAGGCGCCATAGTTAATGGAATTACAAATGCTAGTATTAAGGATAAAAAGTGTGACATTTTTGTGACCACTCTCTTTCCACGTAAATTAAATCATACTTCTTAGTGTTATGTTGTTTAAATTATAATTTCTATTTCTTTTCAGTTAATACCAAAATCGAATGTATCTGGTTATTAGTTTTTAAGTTATTTGTAGTTTTCTGTGAGGACTATTAATTTTTTTAATGCACAGTAATTTTGAGTCAGTCCAAATGCTGACAGAAACTTTGTAGGACAATTATTAAGTTCTGTAGTAGTAACAATGAAAGGAATGCTACCTCATGGTTTCAGGAATTTTAAGGTACCAGTACAAATAAAATGGAAGTATATGTTTTAACTCAAACAATCAGCTCAATCTTAACATGTCCTGCCTACTAATTTTTTTATTTTTTTTAGAAATCTCAACAAAACAAGAAGCCAGAAAATTAAAGTTATGACTTTTTTTGTTTGTTTGGACTTACTCTCTTTCTGTAAGTGTGTTGGTCTCAACAAAAGGTGCAGGTCCAACAACATTTTCATCTTCTTTACTGGTCACTTTATTTTTGACTGAAACAAAAACAGAAAAGTTTTCAAAAAAGAGCTGGATTAGGCTTAAGTAGAAGCTCTAAACAAAGCAGTTCAGAGAGAGCAAGACCTTCAGTTTTGGTCCCTATATTGTTACTGTTTACCAAAGCTTACCATACCAACTGCAATTCTACATGTGGTGTCTCTTCTTACAATCGAACTAAATACATTTTGCCCCCAGGGTGGCGACTCCTTCTTGTTGAAAGTAATTCTTAGTGGAAAAAAATTAAAACCTATGTTTATGATTTGCCAGGCTTTAGGGTTTTAAAAAAAAATATACCTCAGCTTTTTCTATCACCTTACAAATAAATAATCAATGCAATAAAGAGCCTGGAAGGCCATAATTCATCTTTCATTCAGGATAAAATCAGCAGGCACCTTAAAGGCTAAAAAAAACAACCTACAAAATTGTGATGATTTAACTTTCAGTCTGAAACCAAGCATAAAAAAAGAAATAAGTGAGGGATTAAGGACTTTTCCCCATAAGCTCGTCAAACCTCTGAAATTCTATTATCCCTCCCCCCATATCCTGACCCAGTACATACATAGTATGTGGTTGGTCCCAATTAATATTTCAAGAACTGGATCAATTTTTTAAAAAATGTGAATAAAAATAAACTCACCCTTTGTTTTCTCTAGCCATACACCTTCCTGGCCAGAATCCTCCCCAGATGAAGATGACTCCTCTGTCTCACTGACCTTTTTCTTCTTCTTGCGCGATTTTTTTGACTTCCTAAAATGTTGAGAGTATTTGAGAGTCACATTTCTTCGAACATGCACTCGTACCTTCAGGAAAGTTACTTCATTTTCTTAGAATGACTGAATTATTAATTGTGACATAAATTTTATATCGTCAAGCCAGAAAACTAGATATGATGTTTAATCTTTTCAAATCAAGAAGGTCTTTATAAATTGTTTCAATATTAGATGTGCATATCACTTATGTTTTTTTTTTGTTTTTTTTAATCATAGCCAAGGCTACCTGTCATAATCAGACTGTAAAGTATTGGAACTAATTTTAGAATATTTTACTGCCCACATCTTCAATAATATTAAACAATCTGATGATTCAGTTCATGGGGGGCTGACGAGCCATCAGTGTCTCATGGAAAAATATATAGTAAATCTTTGAAATAAATAAACTAATAAACTTAGATGAATCTGATATTTTTAACATTTTGATTATTGGTTAAAATAATTTTAACTAGTCTAATGTCAGATTTAATAACGCTATGAGTCATAGTATTACTGTGAAGTAAAGTCATTTCAATAGTAACCCAGCTGTTCTTCAAGTTTAGAAAATCAATCAATGTCATCTGGTTTTAAAAAAAAAATTTAAGCTAGATAAAGTAATTTTAGTTGTGAAAAACATGGGAGGACAGAGGGGGAAATGAATAAAATTATAAATTTTATTTTTTTAATTGCTATACAAGACCTCTAGCAATTGTTATGAACTGGTGTGGGAGCAGGATTAGGTTTGTGTATGGAATAGGTGGTGAATAGTTTTGTGAGGGCCAGTTGTGACTGGTCAGGTTATGAAAGGTCAATATACAAAAAGGTGAATAAATGCTGGGTGAACACGAGGAACGAGTTAGCATGTTAGGTATTCTGTGGAGTAGCGTGTGAAGTATTAATTGTGTGTCAAGAGTCATCATGTTGTGTTAAATCGTCATGAGTTTTGTTGCTGTCCCATTTTGGATTTGATATGATGTTACATTGTGAACATGCAGGATTACGTAATTAAAGTACAGTTAGGAGCCAATAAATTGACCTTAATATATAGAAGAAGAAGAATTATCTTCAATGAGTATTTCACACTGGTCATTCAGTGTGGCTGGAAGGAAGAAAGCATACTCTAAGCGAGTTGCTCCCCCAAATAACATTGATCCATTTAACTGCATATCAGTATACATACTAAAAGAGGTTTGCAATAAATTGGGCAATTTTGTCATACATGTCTAGCATGGGGGTTTTCAAATACACCAGATATTTGTAAACTATATGGCAAGAATGTAAAAATGTGTCACAGTTTGACTGACAAGCATTGATGGCATTAGGATCTACTACTTTTAGCCTGTAAATCACATCATAGTCATATAATAATAATTTAGAACAAAAAAAAAAGGCTTAGTACTAACTTTCTTCTTTTCTCTTTCTTGGATTTCTTTTTCTTGCTTTTCTTTTTACTTTTAGCTGCAAATTTCCAGAAAAAGTTTGCATGTTTATGTTTGGAAGAAAATTTCATAATTTTAGGACTATTCCATACATATTCACTTATAACTTCCTTACTACCATGTGCATCAATTTCTCTCTTTCAAAAAATATATTTCACTAATGTCTTTGTTTCACCATATTGGCTTGCCCAAAAATGGAAATTTAACCCAATAATAACGCATCAAATTGGGATAAAGAATAACAAACAAAAAAAACAACAAAAAAATGAAGTGCAACCTTTGTCACTATCCTCACTATCTTCTTCGCTGGACCCTGCATCTTTTTTCTTTTTCTTCTTTCCTTTTTTCTTTTTCTTGCCACCTTCATCATCTTCAGATGCAGATCTGTTGAATATTTCAAACTATATTTAAGAAAGTTACTCTGCTGAACACATTTCAGTAGTTCACATTTTATTTTTACTACATATTTTCTTTAGTTTATTCAGTGCTGTAATACAATATTTATTCCATAATTATATAACATATGAGAAGAAAAAAAAAAGATGAATAAAAATAACCTATATATAAATTAAAAATACAGCTGCGTACTCTGGAATGTAAAAAATAAACACATGAAAAGCTGATCATCTTCTCAAATGATATACCTGGGGTAGTTAAAGGGTTAACTTTTGTGTACCTCAAGGACATCTCTATAAGTTTTTACAGAGAGTTTTGAGGTATCACTACAAATTACATCATGTACCCGTTTCTAAAAAATTTTAAAAAATAAAATGTTCTTGCCTTTCTTCTTGAGAAGGTGACCTTGCCCACAGCTCTAGCAATCCACAAGCACCTATTCTTTCACGTTCTTCCCTTCGTCTGCGAGAAAATATTGACCCAATTACAGAAAACACTTATTCAGACCAATGAAAAAAAAAAAAAATCTTATAAATTAGCTCAAAATAGATTAAAAGAGTAAGGATCATTTGTTATTATTGGGTCTTTGTTTAATTTTAAATAATTTAGGAAAAAGCGTCTGCCGCTGGAGTCACATGTGAAAGGAAAATAAGATAAGATTCTTTTATTGATCCAAATAAATGGAAATGTTTTCTGATTGCATTATACATTTTCAGCACATAAATAAAACATTTGAAGACAAGACATTTATAATAAATTATCTCAAACAGCCATTCATTGAGTTCTCTTAGCCAAATCGGGGACTTATTAGTTCTCATGATGATGTGTGACTTGAGAGAGAGCATGCCAGTAAATTCGTACAGATTGGGGAACAAAAGAATTTTTATATCTTTCAGTCCTCGCCCTGATGGAAAGAATTCGGCCCAAATGGCCCAATCCTAAGTATTTGTGATGAAGAGGGTGGGATGTATCATCGAAATGTGTTTAGTTTTACAAAAACATCTTTCTTCAAATAATTCTTCAAGTGAAGGATGTTTAGTGTGTTATGTTCCTAGCTTTCTTGATTAGTCGGTTTATGCGGTGTTTAATATCAGACGTTGAATTCCCACACCAGCAGGTATTGCTAAAATTAAGTAGGCTTCCAATGGTTGCACTGTAGAATAAGTTAATGATTTGCTTGTTTACGCCAAAATTGTACAGTTTTTTGAGATAGAACAGTCTTTGGTTGAATTTCTTATACAGCATTTGGCCGGGCTCATGTCACGTTAGCTTATTATTAATGATGACACCTAAGTACTTGTATGCCTCCGCTTTCTCTACACTTTGATTTTTTATGTTGAGATCTGTAATCTGGTGTTTCCCCCTCCTGAAATTAACAACCATTTCCTTTGTTTTTGAGATATTCAGCTGGAGAAAATTTGCATCGCACCAATTGATAAAGCTTGTAACTAAATTGCAGTATAGATCTTCTCCTTCAGATATTAAGCCAACAATGTTGGTATCATCAGCAAATTTTAAGATTGGAAGGGTGTCGCTTGAGCTTTGAATATCATTGGTATACATGGTATACAGTACAAGAGAGCGAACACAGCCTTGTGGTTCCCCTGTGCTTATTTCTCTGTTTAAAGATAATGTATAACATAAATAGTGAAAAATTTACCAATGGTTTGCAACGATTTTTTCAAAAATTTGGTATTACCTTTTCATTAACACATAAGCAATCAAACTTTATAGCAATCAGTTTTAGTACCAAACATCTAGATTCAATAACTTACTTTATGTATGCTAGTGAATGAGTTGACTTATAAAAGCACATCAGGGACAAGACAGAGTGGTACCATTAAATGATAGATATCACACTGAGAGCCACTACAGTTTGGCATATGAGGACCATGATTAGGGACAAGACAGAGTGGTTCCATTAAATGATATCACACTGAGAGCCACTACAGTGTGGCATATGGGATAATGATTAGGGAGTTGAGCCTACTTAGAGTTAGAGTCAAATCCAGATATATTTTAGATACACTAATTTACTAAGAGAATCAATAATAATTCTAAATTCTCTCAATTTTAAATATTTAACAGTAAGTGCTTTAATTTTAAGAAAGCATCTGACAAAAACTTTTATTCAAATCCCAAATAAACAACATAGTATACATTGCTACTAACTAAAATAGGAGCCCTATGCATCTGGTCTACAACAAATTAATTTTATAAGAAAAGACTGAAAAAGCATCACATACATTGCAAAATGCATGAGTGGAAAACTTTTTATATTTTTAAAGATATTACAAACCAACCTCTTTACCCATAATTACAGTCTACAGTTCTGTGTGAATCAAGTTCTCTGTGTTTTTTTCCACAACAATCTCACCTGTCCATTATTGCAGTATCCTCTAACTGCTGTCTGTCGCCCCCTCTAGCCATTGGCTTTTTGAAATGGGAGCCATCTTCTAGATTATCACCACCATGCCACACCGGTCTGGGATTGTCTCTGTGATGAGTTCCGTATCTAAAATTAAATGTGCATATTTATTCCAATATTTTGCAGAGGTATAAGGCACAACAATTATTTAGATAATTATGCTGGAACTAATTTATATTAACACAATATCATAATTTTAAAAAAAAATTAATTTAAAAGTAGCTTTTATAGGATAAAATAAAATATAATATTGAGACACCAAACTGAATACTATTCACAACTTAAATCAAATTCATCAGTTAATTCAAAGTTAGACAATAAGAAAATAAGAACTAATTACTTTGTCCCATTGTTTTCAATGCGTCTTATAGAATCATCTCTTTTATGAGCTTGCGAGTGGGGCTGATCATTTACAGAGTTATCAATTGGTGACCTAGATCTGCGATGATATTTGGCTCTATGATTCACAGGGGACAGAGGGGAAATTCTTTTTTTAATAGGGGAATTTGATCGAGAAGGACGTCTTTTTCTAACAGGAGAATTGGATCGCGAGGAGCGTCTTTTTCTTATAGGAGAATTGGATCGAGAGGAGCGTCTTTTTCTTATAGGAGAATTGGAAAGAGAGGAGCGTCTTTTTCTTATAGGAGAATTGGATCGAGAGGAGCGTCTTTTTCTTTTAGGAGAATTGGATCGAGAGGAGCGTCTTTTCCTAATAGGAGAATTCGATTGAGAGGAGTGTCTTTTTCTAACTGGGGAATGAGATCGAGGGGAACGTCTTTTTCTAACAGGAGAATTTGACTGAGATGACTCTGAGGAAGAATTTCGTTTGTGTCTTCTTTTAGGATCCAAAGTAGAAGAAGGTGAATTTTTCCTTTTCTGTATAGGAGATCTTGAACAAGACTTGTAATGCTGGTTCCTTGAGCTTGAGTATTTCTTTTTGGGTGAGTCATCTCCATTTACTTTGGTGGAATTTGTGTAGCCATTTTTAACTGGCCTGGTGTCGTCTTCACTTGAGCTTGCAGAAGAGCTACCAGACCCATATGAGTCATCTGAGGCCTTGGACATGTCAATTTTCCTATAAAAAAACAGTAACTGGTAATATTAAAATAAATTTTCAGTGAGCAAATTAATGTCCTTGTCAATTATTTAAATAACTATTATCTAATGGTTAATGAAATTTTATATGATGTGACAATGTGACATATTTTAATTTTATAACTAGCCAGAATCCCCAGACAGTTATTTGTTTCTAATGTATAAATTTGTGTTTATTTAAGGTTAAAGACATCCATGTTTTTAATTTTATAGATAAAAATTTAAGACAAATACAATTATTTTTGTTAGGCCTATTAATTTAAAAAAATGTTTGATGAGCTTTGCCTCTCCTAGAGGTGCAGAAGTCTATAATGGGCTCTAACAATCTTTTCCATATTTGTCTCTTATCTGAGTCACTCGTAACTAGAATGGATAGGCATGGCGTAGGCCAGGGATCGGGAACCTATGGCTCGCGAGCCAGATGTGGCTCTATTGATGGCTGCATCTGGCTCGCAGACAAATGTTCGATTATTAAAAAAAAGTTGCATTAATGGTAAGAAATATTCATTATTGATTAGCAACAGCATAACAATGTTATTAAAAAGAATTCAGATACATAATTATTGCATTTTTAGCGTTAAAATTACACAAAATGCACACATTTACTTGAATTTTTAGTTTTAAACATAATGTATGGCTCTCACAGAATTACTTTTCAAATATGTGGTGTCCATGGCTCTCTAAGACAAAAAAGGTTCCCGACCCTGGCCTAGGCACTTTTTCTGGAAGTCATTACTTAGAACTACAAAAATGGACAATGTATGCTTGAGGTTTTGCTCCAGAGTTTCTGATGAGTGGCCTCCCTTTCATTAAGGCGCAGATTGTTATTAGAGTTAACTATTCTCTTTTTTATTGAAGGTTTTTGATTGATGTCTTTTTAATATTAATATTTCATAGCGCGGTTTATTATAACATATTAATCCAAAGCTATTTTGTCTGATCATTTTGTAAAACGGATTTTGACTTCTCTGACATCTTTTGTATTTATAAAGTATCAAGTACCGGTATGTAACAGTGTATTTGATGAAAATGTAAGTAAGTGTAACTTAAGTGACTTAACTAGGGTTTTCATTTTTGTTGGCTGTTAGTTTTTCTCTTATAAATTATAGTATAAATTATTAGACCTGACAAACATTTCTTTGTAGGCCTAATCATTAAACTTTCAATAATTTGCATGTCTTAAACTCAAGTCACTAAGAATCATACTTTGACTTAAGACTACCATTACTGATTACTACCAAGAGTCCATCTCTAATTTTAGTTTTACGAAGTGTCTACATGTCCGGCGCGCCGGACAAATAGTGTGGGAGATATACGTCCGGCGAGCATGTCACGTGACCGCCGGACGACTAGTAGGCGTTATTATTCCGAAGGAGGTACCTATTTAAAAGATCTTGTGTGGTCATGTGGTAGTGTGGCCGCTTGACGATATTGTATTTGTGGATCGATTCCCCGCATGGGCATTCTCTTTTTCCCCCCATTATAATTTAAAATATTTTATATTATATTTATATTATCATGTTCATCAGCAACAGTAGTTTTATGAGAAGTTTTAAAATATTTTTAGCAATTTAAAATCTTTTACTTTTATTGGTTGCCTATGCCATACTGAATACTGGCCCTAATTATATTATGGTTTGCTGGTACCGGTACACAAACTCAAATAACAAACTAAACAAAAATGTTTACAAGCCACTTTCACTTCAGCTTTTTTCTTTCATTTGCATGCAAGATGTACTTTACTTGGTAGAGAAAGAGATTTTAAAATTAACACTAGTTTTGAATCATTCGCGGTCACGTGACAAGGCTGATGGACAAAATATCTCTCGCCACTTTGTTACGGCGGTCATGTGACTTGGTCGCCTCACAAATAATAATAATAATAATAATAAAGTTCATTTCAAAAACACGCTTCATCCCCAAAGGCTCGAAGCGCGGTACAAAGTCAACGAAATACAAATCTATAATTTACCACATTTAAAACAAACGCAACACTCCAAAAACTAATTACTAGCATACAATTGCAAAGTCTTTCTAGCCATTTCAACCCCAAGCAACACAGCCATTATGCATTAACTGGAAAATAAGGTTGACAATCATCCCAGAAGGTGTTTGCGAAATAGATGTGTCTTTAAATAGTGTGGGAGATATACATCCGGCGCGCCGGACGTATAGACACTGCCTTGTCTTAGTTTTAGTCTTAGTCAGACATCAGTGTTTCAAAGGTTTCAAACATTTTACAAAAGGTTTGAAAAAATAAATTAGGGCATAATAAAAATGAGGCGATGAAGCTGATGAAGTAATGGCAATCAGTTGATTGATGAGGAGTGACAACTTTGTTACAAAGTCATAGTCATAGAGTAGACCTAAGACTAAGACTGTATTGCCAATTGCAATGCATTACAAATATAAGATTAATCAATATGAATGAGAATGAAAATGATGCATTGCATACTATACTATACTAAACACTCACTGTCAGTCACTAGTATTAGTATATTAGTCTACTAGGTTAGTCCTAGTCTGTACAGTCTACTACAGTGTAGGCCCTACACTCTTTAACAGTCCCCTTGCCCCTTACCTTGACCTTACCAATGATGGTAGTTCCGTAGTAATATTATCTTACGTCGACGTGATTTGTAGAAGTAGTAAAGCTAAAATAATAAATAAGACCGGTGGTAGTCCCTTCTGTTGGAAGCACAAAGTCACCTAACAGTCAAGAGTAAGGTAAGAGTAAGAGTTGGCAACAGTAGTATCGACAGGACAGTGTGTTGTTAGTGAAAGTGAAGTTGTTAGTCGTCGTCGTGGTTAGTGTTGACAAGTCAAGAGGGTAAATTTGGAGAAATATCTCTCCAAATTAGCCACCATACCATACTGTTTAGCCAAATTTTGTCGTCCAATATTTAAAGTTGGTTGTTAACATCTACAAAAATTAATCTTTTCACACAAAAAAACACATAATTCTTACGCTCTCGCAGATTCTGTAAATAAATATAATTTGCCAATCCAGGAGGACCGGAAGTGTTTAAAAAGATAAAAAATATCGTGTCACGTGACGGCTTCAAGAGCTTGTAAACAAAAGCACAATGTTAATGATAGTTTATTAGAGCTAGGGTTTCTAACTTCCCGGGGTTTTGCTTATTCAGATCAACGAGACCAAAATGAGTTGCCTCCCCGAATTTCTATATTAAATAAACTGAATACAAATTTGAAAGAATGGGTTTTAATTAGCGCTTAAGTTTTATAACTGGCCTATATTTCTTTGTTGGGAAGTTGGTCCCTCACTTTCACTTCTTTTAGGCCTACTTATGAATGGGCTTATTTTATGACACGACTAGTTGCTCCATTATCATTTTCCCCTGCTAATGAGGATTAGGCTAATCCATCCAGCTAATGATAATATTATACTTTTTAAAGCAAAAGTCGGATACAACCTAGTTTTGCATTCTTTACTATTTAGGGGGCTATCCATAAATGACGTCACACAAATTTTTGCCTATTTTTTCAGCCCCCCCCCCCCCCCACCTCCTTCACAAACA